CCCAAAGGAGGCTGAGGCAGGAGGATCCTGAGTTCAAAGCCAGCCTCAACAACGGTGAGGCGCTAAGCAACTCAGCGAGACCCTGACTCTAAATAAAATACAAAATAGGACTGGGGATGTGGCTTAGTGTTCAAGTGCCTCCGAGTTCAATCCAAGGTACCCCCCCCCCGAAATATACTGGGCACAAAAGTGGGTCAAGGACTGAGAGGTGGGGAAATAGAGACTGCAAATCAGAGAATGAGGGGAGTGTTCTGAAGACTGAATTGAGCTGGGCACATGCATCTCATTCCAGTGACTGAGGCAGGAGGATCCCAGGTGGAGGCCAACCTGGGGGAACTTATCCAGACCTGGTCTCAAAATATAAAATAAAAAGGGTGTGGGAGGTAGCTGGTGGCAGAGCACTGCTGGCATCAACCCGCAATACAAAAAAAAAAAAGAAGATTGGAGTTACTAGAGGTATTTTAAATGCTAATGGAAGGAAGGAAGAGACCAGAAAGTGAGAAGGGAAGACAGAGGAGAGGAGCTGGGGGGGGGGGTGTCTCTGGGAAGAGGGAGGAGACAGGGCTCCCAGCTAAGGAGGCATCTATCTCTTCTACTACCACGTGTGGCAGGTGTGACCATAGAACCAGCGAGTGGAAAATGGCAGACATGGGGAGGTCTGATGGCAATCTGCTCAGAGACTCCCAAGTGAGGGCTTCGTGTTTCTCATAAACAGGAGCAGAATCACTGCTCTGAGTTAGAGATGGGGTAACAATGTCCAGGCTGGAAAGGGCCCTGAGGCTGCTCCCCAGGCCACCCCACTACTTGGGTCCTCCTTTCCAGGGTGCAGAAGACCTACAGGGAGGGGATCACAATCAGAAAGATAAGCGCATCAGGCTGTAGGTGGCCTCCATTTCCCCAGGTGTGGTGCCTTTGACTAAATCTGTCTTCTTTTATCTGCTTCCAGGGCTGGCCAGTCCTCAAGGATGGGCAGGTTCCTTTAGCCAGACCAGTAAATTCAGTGGGACTCTCCTCTGAGGTCTCCCCTTTGCCTGGAGCTGTTCCGTTCCTTCAGGAAAGAGCCTTTGTCTATCTCTGAGCTCATCTGCTCTCCCTGAGTGGGCCAGGGCCCCAGGACTGACCACAAACTCCACTTCCCAGCTCGGACCTGGGCAAAGCCGGTATAAGCACTACACATGCACCACTAGGGGTTGACGGTAAGCCCCGGAGAGCTTGGGGTCTGGAGCTGGCGTTTAGAGGGGTGCAAACCGTTTCCGGAAAAGATAGTAAGTATTTTAGGCCTGACAACTGGGTTGCAACTACCCAGTTCTTATCTAAGATCAAAGCAGCCACAGATGATATGTAAAAGAACAGGTGGGGCTGTGTTCCTGCCCTACTAGATTTGCAAAAACTGGTGGCTAGCCGCAGGCTGTGATTTACCTTTCCCCTACATCCCCTCCCTCCTTGCCCCAGTGTGCTTGGAGCTGAAAACCTAGCTCAGAACTCCCAGCACTCAGTACTGGAAGAGGACTGGCAACCGAAGGCTTTCTCCCTGAATTTCTTTCCTGACATCCTTGCTTCTGCAAAATTTCTTCCCACACTGGCACAAGCATTGGATTGAGCTGACCGAAATGATGTAAGGAGAAGGCAGATGGGAGCCAGTTAGAATGGCTTCCAGAACCTTCCAAGAGTTAACATACTTGTGAAAAAGGAACATTACAGGACTAAAGCCCTCCACCCAAGTGACTAAAATTAAAAACAAAAAAAGGCCTTGGGCTTGGGGTGTAGCCCAGCAGGTGAGAACTTGCCTAGCCTGGGAGGGGGAGAGGGCAACTCCCAGCAGCCCCCTCCACACACAAAATTTAAATGGCCTAAATGTCCCTTAATCAGGTGGGCTTAGGAGTCTACACGGGGCCTGCAGAATCAAGGGCACTCAGCACTGCATTCTGGCTATTTGGGGACAGGAGCCATGTCCCTGACTCTCCTGTCTCCGCACCTTAGATGGAACAGGTATTCAATAAATGCCCACTGAGTCTCTGTGGTTACACAGTACAGGCCATCATTCTCTTCTTTATACTTGCATTTTTTTCAAAAAATTTCTATAATTTATGTTATGTCTAGGAACAACAAAATTCAAATCACTTTTAGAACAAAACAGAAGAGTTAATGAAATAACAGATCATCTGTCCGCCTTAGAGTTGACTCCTCCCTACTCTGGGCAGAAACCTCCTTCCAGGTGAGTGTGGAATCTCCCAGTGAGAAGGGAAAGGACCGGGCGGTTCCTGTTTGCAGGATCACTGCTGTTTGTCTTTTGACTTCTAGGAAGTGATAGTTATCCTATTCATGGTAGCAGATAATTAAGATTATTTACAAATCGTTCACGTGGACTTCGGGCTGGCAGAGAACATACTCAGCCAACGTGCCTCTGGAGAGGGTGCCACAGGGGTTCTGGGTTCTACACCACCAGCTTCTGCTGGAAAATTTGATCCAGAATACTCCAGCCCCGTTCAAGAATGGCATAGAAAGAAAAAAAAAAAAAAAAACATGATTGCCTCTTACAGAGCAGTGCTCCCAAACCTGATTTCCAAGAGTTGAAAATAATAACAATCTCACCAAGACCACTTCCCAATTTAGGAAGAAAAATGCTATTTCCACAACTTTTTAAATTGGTGTCAAATATCCACTGAATCATAACAAGATCATCAGCCAGGAGGCTCTCACTCATGGCTAAGGCAGGAGACACACAACACGTTTCAAATATGGAGACCCCAGGCCTTCCTCCACGTGCAGGGGGTATAAAGCTGGCCCATGACTAACCTAGCCGTGTGATCCCCAGCACCACCCAAATTTTTAGAAAATAAGTTTATGTAGATTACAAAAACTGGTTCTGTAAGATCAAAAATATGTTAAGTGATATTGTTAAAGTGAAAATAATCATTGTAGCCAGGCACGATGGCATACACCCCTCTGATCCCAGCTACACAGAAGATTGAGGCAAGAGGATCTCCCAAGTTCAAGGCCAGCCATGGCAACTTAGCCAGGCCCTAAGCAACATAGCAAGACCCTGTCTCAAAATAATATTCAAAAAGGGCTGAGGATATAGCTCAGTGGTAAAGTGCCCCTGGGTTCAATTCTCAGTACGGCAAAAATAATAATAATTGTAAACCTTTACTTAGCACTTCCTAGATGCCAGGCAATATTTTAAGTGCTTCATATAGACTAACTTGCTCATATCATTACTGGTCCATGTGAGGTAGGAATGGTTAGAGAAGAAACGGGAGCACACACAGACTCTGAGGCAGCACACCCAAGGTTCAGCTACAAGGTAATGGGTGCAAAGGGCTGACCCAGGGGCCCAGGTGACTGGCCCATGCCTCATCATCATCTAGTACCCAGACCTGAAAAAAGTTCAACCCTAATGCCTTTGACTGGCCGAACAAATTGTCACCTGAAGAAACCGTAACAAATATTTATTAAATGAATATAAACAGAATCCTCCCAGAGAAGCTCAGCCTGCTTCTGCTAAAAGAGAAATTGGGGGAAGAAGGTAGGTGACAGAGGGCCTTGGGCAAAGGATCAGGGACAGGACAGAGGTCTCTGGGTTTCTCTATCTGATTTTGCAGTTGAGTGTCCGGTAGGAGGGCACCAGGTCCTCTCAAGTCTATGCTGTCCCAGCACCTACAACAATGTCTGGAACTTAGTGGGTGCTCCATAGAAAACTTGGCTGAATGAACGGAAGTAAGTGCTCTGCTCCAGCCCTGCTGCAGTAAAACTCACAACAGGCTCTGGGTGCCATGAACTTGATATCAGCCCTGTGAAGGCGTACCCACCAATACCCCTAACTGACCTGTGGGCGACTATACAGAAGGACCCACCAGGGCTCCGGCACACTTTATCAGACTGCTTCACTCCAGTACCCATAGAAAGAGCCACACACACCCCCTGGTCATTGGAGCACGATTCAGCTAATATGCAAATGAATCGGGGGAAAAAAGCTTAAAGATACGCCAAACCAAACTAGGGATCCCAACATGGTAAGCATCTGTCCCATTGCAGACACGTCTGCATTCTTCACAATGAGAAAACATTCATAGTTTACTTGTGCAATTAAAAGATGAAAACCGAGATGGGAGTTTCGTTTGTGGTAAAGTGCTTGCCTCCAATGCCTGAGGCCCTGGTTTGACCCCCAGCACCACAGGGGGGAAAAAAAGAAGTTAAACGGCAACACTGGTGTGGTGGCCCATGCCTGCAATTTCAGCAACTCAGAAAACTGAGGTGGAGGATCCCATGTTCAAGGGCAGTCTGGGCATCTTAACTCAGGTCCCATCCCAAAATAAAATAAAAAGGGTTGGGATGTAGTTTAGTGGTAGAGCAGTTGCCTACCATGTAAGAGGCCTCCAGAACAGGTCAAACAAAACAAAAGATTAAAAATAAGAGAACAACAAACAAACAAAAGATTAAAAATAAGAGAAGGATGCTTTATATATACTCCACTAGGTTTGAAAAGGCAGGGCAAGATGATAGGTTTAATGACTTAAAAATAATCTTTTTTTCCCCTTAGACAGGGTCTCCCTAAATTGCTGAGGCTGCCTTGAACTTGGGATCCTCCTGCCTCAGACTCCTGAGTTGCTGGGATTGTAGGCGTGCACCGCCACGACTGGCTTTGTTACACACACAAACACACACACCTGTAGGTTGAACCCAGGGCTTCCCTCGTGCTAGGCAAGCGCTCTACCACGGTGCTACAACTTCTTTGGCTGGGGGCACACAGTTGGGTGTTCCCCATACCAGGTGAGAGGCACACATCTTTAGGTATTTGTGTGAACTTTCTTTGGGGCTTCTGAGTCCTTGTCCAGAATTCAGACGCAAGAGGCCCTGAGCCATAGGAATGAGGCCCCTCAGAAGCTCTGCATCCAGGCGCCAGAAGTGGAAGGGCCCGGCTCTCCAGGGGGCCAGGGCACCCCCACCAGCACCTTGCACCCAACACCCTGCACCCAAGCCCTGCGCAGCCCGCCACACACCTTGGATGGTTCTCTTGAAGAAAGCCTTGCAGGCCTCGCAAGAGGCCACGCCGTAGTGGTAGCCAGAGGCAATGTCCCCGCACACGAGGCACAGGCGCTTGGGGATGGCGTTGAGCATGTACTCGCACTTGATGGCCGAGTCCTCCATGATGCCGCTGGCACAGTCCTCGTAGCTCTTGCGACACGGGGTGCCTCCCAGGCCCGCACCTGCGAACATGGGCGGCGAGTCCAGACCGTTGGCGTGGGTGCCCAGGGCCAGGCCAAAGCCACCGCTGGCGTCCGACGAGCCGCTGGGGCTGTGGTGGCTGAGGGCATCAATGCCCGAGGACGGGCTGGACGGCTCTGTCTTGATGAAGGAGCCACAGCTGGAGCCCAGGTGCCGGTCGTCTGCGGACATCCTGTTCAGCAGCCTGTGGACACACGGCAGAGTCAGTGCCAGGGAGGTGCGAGCGGGGGCGGGGCGCGGCCGGGGGCGGGGCCGGGGCGGGGCTGGACGCCCAGCCCCTGGGGATGCTGGTGGCCTTGAGGGCCCGGAGGTACAGTCCTGAGCAAGTTTCTACCCTTATCACCTCTGCAGCCTTCTGAGTCCTCAAGGAAACTGTTTAGACCAATGAGCTTCAGATCAGGAATCCCCGCGCTTTGCAATAACTGTTCAGCGTAAATATCTTTCCAACCTACCTGCCCAACAACAGGTGGCCGCTACAAGGTAACTGCCCCCGGTGGCAAGCCCAGGATCCGGCACTCTAAGTACAATGGCCTGATAACCCGTTCCACCGTGTCCTTCATCCATGATGGCAGCCCCACCAGTGCACGAGTAAGCACGAACTTGGCGCTTCCTACAGTACCTACTGCCACCAAGGCCAAGTCTTCTGACCAGGGCAAGAGGGGCACCAGCTAGACGGATTGCCCTCTGGGTTTTGCTTTAGTCCAGGCTTGGTAATGGAGGGCGCCTGGAAGGCAGCTCCCTGATCCCTCCCTGTTTCCCTTCCTAATCCTTAGGGAGGACATCTCCTACCTAGCCTATGGATCCCCCAAGAAACTGCCTCCATCAGAGAGCGGTGAGGGAGCCTTACAGTCCCCACTGCCCCTCCTCCAATTGTTTCTTTTGTTCTCAAAATCGTGGCCTCCAGTGATTCTCCTAGCTGGGACCAGGGACAATCACCACCATGCCCAGCCCCCAACTGTTTCTTAACCTTGAGTTTCTTTGTTTTGTTTTGCTGTGCTGGGAATTGATCTCAGGGCCTTGCTCATGCTAAGGTAAGTGCTCTGCTACTGAGCTAGCTACCTCCCCAGTCTTGAACATGGACTTTCTTGGCCTCTAAGCCACCCTGCTCCACCAGGAAAACATGGCAGGGTCACTGCAGGACAGTAGATGGTTTTCCTAACCCAAAGCCCCTCGGTTTCAAGCCACGCTGGGTGGGGAAGAAGGCCCGCCAGGGTGTGACCCTCCCACATCCCAGCTGGGGACCTTCCTTCTATGGGTGTGGACAAGAAAAGCCGTGGGGCTGGGCTCACAGAAGGGAGATTGGTGTTCAAGGGAACCAAGCTGCCAACCATATTCTAGGACAGATATCAGGAGGCCTGGCCTTGGCCCGACCACGTGATCTTGACGCTCTGTGAGCCTCCTCTGTGGAGGGAGAGCGGAGGCCAGTGCTTTTGCCTGAGGGACAGGTGAAAGGAAGGCTGGGAAGATGGCTGACAGCTCTGGGTGGAACCACCCACCACCCAGTTGAAGGAAAGAGGACCCCTGGACGGGCGGGAGGGAGGGTCTCAGTGCTGGAGGGCACAGGGGGGCGGCCAGGGTCCGACCTCCAGAACTTCTCAGAGGTAGTGGTAACTTGTTTGCCAGCCCCCTTTTCCCAGCAGCCCATCACGGAAAAAACTGGTCACTCCCCAGAGAAGTGCTGCCTAGTCACCCCCAAAACGAACCCCACATCCCAGGCCCTAGCTACACACCAAGACCACAAATGTGTCTGCGGACCTCCATTGTCTCTGGTCCACCAATGAGTTCATAGTCAACACAACCTCTGACGGGTTTCCCCATCTGCGTTCGCAAATGTTCAGAGAAAGAACTCTGGTTCCATACAGATGGTTTGTTTTGTTTTGTTTTATGCTTTTGAGGTTTCCCTTGTTTGTTTTGTTCTGTTTTGGTACTGGGAATTAAAACCAGGATGCTCTACCACTAAGCCACACTCCAGCCCTATTTTTTTTTTTTTTTGAGAAGGGTCTCACTACGTTGCTGAGGCTGAGAATTTGTGATCCTCCTGCCTCAGCCTCCTGAGTGGATGGGATGGCAGGCATGTGCCATTGTGCCCAGACTACCCAACACAACTCTAATCAGAAGCTGAGAGATGCAGATCCCAAGACAAAAGAGCCACCTAAGGCTCCTGCTCTCAAGTTCACAATCCCCTGGAATGTAGTCTGTGAAGACAGAGGCTCTGGGTCTCTTCTGTTCCAAATGGAATGTTCCTGAGTCCTAGGAGACACCCCCCCCCGCAACTCCCCAGTCTCCCCTGAATTAGTAGAAGTTCCCCTGGTTGAGAGTCTCCTTGGAGCCTTTTTACATATCTCTGGCCAGTGTCCTGTCATCTCCCTGGACAATGCCACCTACTACCCCCTCCAACCATCAGTGGCGCGTCCCCAGGAAATGCCATCAGCCTGGCAGGAAAATCTGCCTGCACAGATAGGGATGGCACCTGTGGGCTCCTTTCCAGATGCCCTTCCTCAGGGCACGTGAAGGACAGCTGACCACACACTCTTGAACTTTTAATCCCTTTCTTCTCTCCTGATAGCTGCTTTAGGCTCTCCTCTTCACAGGAGAATCCCAGTTCTACTGCTGGGCCAGAGCTTCTGGACCCTGCCACCTATCTAGCAGACCCCAGAGGAAGGGCACTTCCATAGAGAAAGTGCACTCAGGAAATGCACTCAACCTAAACAGTCACTATGGTAGTTATTGTAGTACATGCCCCCTGACTTAGAATTGTCCCTGGAACCCGGTATGGTGGCACACACCTATAATCACAGTGACTTGGGAGGTTGAGGCAAGAGGTTCCATGTTTGAGGCAAATCTCAGCAACTTCATGAGGTCCTAAGCCACTTAGTGAGCCCCTGTCCCAATTTTTTTTTAAAAAATTAAAAAGGCTAGGAATGCAGCACAGTGGCAAAGCATCTCCGTGCTAAGCAACTCAGTAAGACCCTGACTCTAAATAAAATACAAAATAGGGCTGGGAATGAGGCTCAGTAGTCAAGTGCCCCTGGGTTCAATGCCCAGTTCTGGGGGAAAAACAACTGTCCCTGGAGGTACAGGAGGCATTTGTCCTGAGAGAAGCACAGCAGCATGTGAAGCCTCTCCCAGACAGGGGAGGACGGTTTTTCCCAACATGCCTTCCCAACCTCATGGCTCAACCAACCAGGGACACCGGGCTGAGGGCTGTGTTCCTAAACCTTGCTTTCTCCTCCTTTGTGCGTGTAAGTTTGCAAGCGCATGCGTGCACATGAGTGCGCATGTGCACATGAGTGCGCATGCAGAGGTTGCTGGAAATTGAATCTGGGGCCTCATGTGTGCTGGGCGATTGCTCTATCACTAAGCTGTAGTCCTAGCCCTTCATTTATTTGTTTGTTGGTTTGTTTTGGTACCAGGAATTGAAACCAGAGATGCTTAGCCACTGAGCCACATCTCTGCCTTTTTTGTTGTTGTTGTTGTTTTGTTTTGTACTGGGGATTGAACTCAGGGGCACAAGACCACTGAGCCACATCCCCATCCCTATTTTGTATTTTATTTAGAGACAGGGTCTCACTGAGTGGCTTAGCATCTCATTTTTGCTGAGGCTTTCTTTGAATTTGCAATCTGCCTGCCTCGGCCTCCTGAGCCACTGGGATTTCGGGGTATGCACCACCGTGCCCAGCTTAAATTTTATCTTAAGACAGGGTCTTGCTAAATTGCCCATGCTGACCTTAAACATGTGATCCTCCTACCGCGACCTCCTGAGTTGCTGGCCCTGTCCTTGATCCTAAAGGGTATGAGTGTCTTGCCATGTCCAGCCACCCACTGCAGGCCCTGGTTGGAGCCTGGGTTGAGAAGGAAGCACACCGGATCCCAGCCTCAGGAGGAGTTGGCCTGGGAATCCTGGAAGCTACTGCTAGTGCCTGAGCCCCAGTTTCTCATTTCACTGACCATTATTAGATGCCACCAAAATGTCTTTTCCAGGGACAGTCAACCCATATTTGAGGCACCCACCATGTGTCAATTGCTGGCCAGATATCAGGCAGAGGTTGGGCACAGCCCCCAATCTCAGGAAGGTTTGACTCTGTCCTAGGAGCCACAGACACTCAGCTACTGAACAAACACAGAGTGCCAGGAAGGGCCCTGGGGACACAGTGTTGACAGTGCATCCCTGCTGTGCCCTCTGGTCTTGCTCTACTGTTTCTCATTCATTCATTTTGCAAACTATGAAGACCCCCCAGGAGGCCACAGCTTCTTCTTCTCAACTTTGTCAATTTCTGACTGTCCCCAAGAGCTCCAAAGCCTCACTGTCATTTTCTGAGCCACAGAGGGTAAGAGTAGAGAATTCTCTGGAGGGGAGAGGGGCATGGGGTCCTTCTGGGCTGCCTGACTGGATGTACCAGGCAGGGGGAGAACGTGGCTGAAGCCACTAGGCCCTTTGAGAAAGCAGCCCATGCCCTCCCTCTCTCCCTGACCTCCGGGACATAGGGACATAGTTCACTCCTTCATTCATTCACAGAAAATATTAAAGGAAGGATGGAGGCAAAGAAATCCAAGAAGAGGGCAGAGAGGTAGCTAGAGGATGTGGCCAAGAAAAAAAAGAGCCCATCACAGAAATGTTTAGAGCAGAGCTGACCAGAAAGGGAGTGAGCAGCAGGTCACGTGTGGCTTTGAAGTCAGAGGGAAAAAAGGGCCAGGGTCCACAGTGCAGGGCAGTCTGGAGGTGACCTGGCCCCAGGGCAGGATGATGGCATGGTGGAGACATATGGCAAGAGATGGCGAACTCAGATGATTCTTTCAAGAAGTTTAGTCAAAAGGTCAGCAGAGGGGTGGCAGGAGGGGTATGTACCTCCAGTCCTTCTTCCAGTACCATCTACTTAACACGTGGCCGGCCTCCTGGACTTGGGGACTGGGGAGGGGGGAAGGAATGTTTTTGTTGTTGTTGGTGGTGGTGGTAATGTTTAGCTTCTTTGATGAGGAGGGAGATGTTGAGAATGGAAGGAATTTAAGGTATCTAAAAATGACCGTGTCCATACCGTCCAGTTTGCCCTGGGCTATCCTGGTCCCACCTGACTGACCCCTATCATTACTAATCTCTTCCCCTTTCTCTTCTCAAAGTAGATAATGAATTATAGATGGAGCCTTCCTTATCTGAAATGCATGGGACCAGAAGTGTTTTAGATTTCT